TCTTAGATGTAGTTCATGTTACTGGTCTGTGTAATGTATTTCAAGGACTAACAATGAAACCTTCTCGAATTTGCTAATACTTAATCCTCTTTTTCCTTCTTCCATCTTAACTTAGAAGCAGAATGGCTTTAACTGCTACACAAGCTTTCTACCTGCTGGTGAACAACAAAAGCCTAGCCAGTATGTCTCTGACAATGGCAGAAGTGTACAGGGACTACAAAGATGAAGATGGCTTTGTGTATATGACATATGCTTCCCAGGAGATGTTTGGATGCCTCTTACCCGCTGCTCAAGGGAAAACTATGGAATGCCTTCAAAAAACCTAAGGTGGTGGTGTCCACTTGCTGTGGCTAAGCAGCTGTGCTATGAATCACGCCAGTGACATGAAGCTTGGAGATGCTCCTTCTAATACGAGTTCTTGAGCTCTGTACTGGGGAGTAATGACCCAGAGATCAGCAGGACCAGCTTGAGGCAGAAATGGTGGTACACTCTACTAGATAATAGTTTGGATATATATTTTATATTTAAAGACACTAAGGGTTTTTGAAACTGCACCTCCACTTTTCTTTGCAATACCAACCTTTGTTTTGTAACTGCTTTTTAAGATGTCCTTAAAGCCTAAGCCTAAGAGTAAAATAAAGACACTTTTAAATATTGGGTTGAATGTTAGTGTTACTCTAGAGGAAAAACTGTAGAAGACTACCAGAATTATTCTATGACCTTTAATCTTTTGAGCTCGGTGCCCCTTAAAAATGAAGGATTGCTTGTACAGCAACTCTGTGCATTTCTGAATGGGACAGTGAAGCTTAAGTTTGGTCACATAGGAGCAGAACCATATTTATAAACAGTTCAAGCTTGGTATCTGACCTGCAAGTAGAAAGCAGACTCTACTAGTGCTAAAGCAGAGTTCAAACGCAGTGTAGTTTAATACCTAGTAAACTACTACTGTCATGTGTTATTGAAACTGCTGTGATTGTCTATGATAAAGTAACTTCTGGTTTAAATATGCAAAACTGATTGGTAGTCAGTATAACCAAAATGCAGATAGCATGACTTGAACTCTAGTGTAATCAACTGTTCAAGAGTCTGCTCTTACTACTGAATTCTGCTAGTCTGGTCTAAATAGATGGGTAGTCTGTCCTTCCCTTAGAGGCACACCTGTGTCTTCCTCTGAAACTTCACTGACCTTCTCTCAGAGGTGGATAGCATGTGTTGTACCTTGTGATTAAGTATACTAGTGTCTCTAGAAATGTCAAAACTATCACGTAGTGGCGTGCAAATACAGTGCCTAAGCATGCACTATAGGAGCTCTTGACAGAAGGCTCAGTCTGCAGTGTAGCCCAAGCTAGCTTTTCTGTTCTTATTCTAGAAGTGAGGTAGTATCAAAGTTGTAAATGTTCTGGTCATGCATGATCAACTTAATGCTAGGGCACTCAGAATCTGTCAGTGTGCAGTTAATTATCAACCTTCAGCAGCCTCAGCTTAGGATGGCCAGATTCTTACAGCATGGTGAAATTCCTCTATTCAGTACCAAACTGGTATTGGCAGAATGATTAATGTAGGAACTGCTGGACTGCACAGGAAAAGTGTTGACAGTATTTAAATAATGCATTAAGGAAGGAATGTGTGTGCATAAGAGCCTTTTGCTGGAGTGCTCTTGCACTAATGATCTCTTGAACTTGAAGCTCTGAGCATGTGTGGGTTCAGGCTTCTAAACCTAAAAGGCTACTGTATTTGGCTGTTAGGAGGTACCTGTCTTATTGAAGGTGTTATTTGCCAACTCATAAAACAGGGAGGGGAGGCACAAAGAAAGCATTGACCCTCCTGACTCGGTGGAAAGGGTAAGGCTATGTTAGAGCATGGGTTATGAAAACATGCAGGCTTTGGGATCCCAGAATCTGTTACCAGGGTAGACTTCACTTTTAATGGAAATAGTTTCCCCTTCACAAATTGAACTGAAATAGTCATTTGTTACAAGCCCTGGGGAGCCACAAAGACACCTGTTTGGCAGGAGTAATATATAGCAATACTGAACAGCTGTGGGAACCTCTGCGGGGGGATAGAGGGCAGGAGTAAAGGGAAATCTTACTATGTTCAAGCTCTCGTGCCAGTCTAAGAGCTGAGATAATATTTTGCTCCATTGACTCTTCTGTGTTTGTCTTGCTGTCTTGTGTGATACTTGGTACCTAAAGAGGAAAACTCTCCAAATTCTTGGCTGGAGCAATTGTATATCTGACAGCCAATTTTCTTTGGTTGTAATGTAGTGGTTAAGGTGTAAGTGTTGTCCCCCCCCCCCCCCCCCCAGCCCAGCTTTCATTGATGTTAGACTGTGTAGTGTCTAACAAACTGAGTCACAGATTCAGCTAAAAAAAAAATACAGGAAGGAGGTCAGTTGCAGGTGAAAAACATCATTACAAACTTGGTTAAACTGGCTTGTTGAACCTAGGGAGAAGACTCGAGCTGGGGAAGCTTCATTATTGGTAAGAGTAACAGGTCTGCTCTCCTACCGGATGTTAAAACAAGTAGGAATTGCTATCAAAGGCAGACTTTTCAAAAAGCCTTAAAATAAGTCAGGAGTTAGATGCCCAAATAAATCAATTATCCTGCTGGTGGAGTTGCCTTGACTTAACTAGAAACTTTGGATTCAACCTATTGTCCCTTGAACTGCAGGGAACAGCAATTAGAAAAGAAGCATACAGAGGGAAAAAAACTTTCTCTGCTGCCTAACATACTGACATAAGCAACTGAGATAACCACAGCTGCTTCCAACAGTATTTGCTTGAACTATTACTAATTGATCAGATAGGTACATAGTTACTGCAATGAAGGACACCACTGTAAGTATATTTTATATTCCCTATGTATCCCTCCTTTAAAAGGGAAGGCAGAGATGCTGCTTACGCCTGTAAAACTGCCTTTATTTCTCAGTTATGGCATGGCTTTGAGTTCTTTGGGATCCAAAATATCCAGTGAGGGAAAAGAAAACAATTTGGGGGATACTTCTGGTTTCACCATAGACTGCAAGCTAAATTCTGGAAGGTGCTCTGTGCTGCGACTGCAAGGCACTTGGGTACCTGCACGCTCTGCTGAAGCAGCTTGTTAGATTGGGTTCAGAGTGCTCAGCCTCTGGCAGGATCAAGCACTGTGTCCCATCTTCAAATGTAAAACCAATCTGGTCAAAAGCACACTGACACCTTATAGGGAAAAATGTGGGAAGAGGGCTGAAATTGTCCTTGCTGTTGAGTAATTTTTTTTTTTAGCTGAGTAAAATAAAGTAGTGGGAGAGCTGTGACTTTTACTTTTTTAACATAATGAAGTGGACAAATAACATTAGGGGAGGGAAAGCATTAAGCTCTCTATACCCTAGCTTTGGTATGGTATGATGAAAGATCTAATGATAATAGCTGCAAACATTGCTGATGTTCTTAAAAGGGAAATACAAAACCAACTGAAGTTGCAGCAGAGGCTGCAACTCTGTTGCAAAAAGCAACCTATTAATGAAACATGGCATTCATGTCTAT